CTCTCTATACAGTCCTTGGCGATGTAGTGTTTATATTTCCTTTTGATTATAATTGCTGTCAACTCACTCTGCTTGGCTTTCTGTTTCACTGAATATCATTTGGAAGCCCGGGTTCACCCTTGTGCAAAAATACACTCGGTGTGATTTCGAGATGTGACACCGGTCATACCAGCCACCAACACGGCTCATTACCAGTAACGTTCCCAGTAATTTTAATCACACATGCTGCTAAAAAAAAAAAAAAAATGCAGCCCGTGTCACTGGTCAGATCATTACGACCAGACAGAAATTAACATTAAAATGAGACATTAGCAATGCTAAGTTTACCTACCCTTGGCAGAATGACTTACTATCCTTTTTGATCACTGTCATCGTCTACTGTGGGATGCAAAACACAACACTGAGGAGTTTTGCATATTATGCATACTTATGTAGCAATTATAAATCTCTCCAGTCACACAGCCCCATGGTTGAGATAGTTTATATTCCTGATAATGAACACTTCAGCCCGGCTTGTCTCACGCGCCGTTGTTGAGGATTATCTTGTGTCAACCCTCTGAGTAAAGCGTGCCGCCATTAAATCAACGCACGCCCTAAAAGTGTGAAGGACATCACCGAGAGATATCCTCGCCGAGGTCAACAGTTTCCTTTGAGGGTCTATAATTAGAGGTGGGGAGGGTGTCCCGGGTGTTAAAAGTGTTCGCCAACACTACAAATGCGATAATGGGACAAACACTTAACATGAGCAGTAAACTCCGCTAGCTGGAGTGAGGTTAAAGGGAAAAGTTAATTGGTCAGACCCCAAAGGTTAGTGGCGCATAAAGGAAACGAATGTATTACAAATTCTTTAAGAAGTGCAACCAGGCCAAGAGAAAAGCAGCTCGACGGAGGCTCTTTTTTTATATTTCTCAACTTGGTATAACTTTTTTTTATTTGTGCAATAGCTCCAATTTCCTCACCGCTTCCTTTTACCCCCAGTGTATATTTGCAAAATTTACATATGTGGAGGTTGAGAAATGGATTAAGCTGTAGCTCTGTTGCAAGTGGCTGCAAGTTTTTTTCTTCTCTATTCTCGCCAGTGTAACGCGAGGAATGTGGCTCAGTCGTTCAGCGCTACGGGAATCGGCATCATGCAGATGTGACCCAGGGAGGTAGAGCACGAGACAACATGAGTTTGTGATGAACGGCGGTTAGGCTGAGCGTACACGGCATGACTAACCCGTTTGATTGTTATCCCACATGAAAATACAGGAGGCTGTAACCGATTTCAAAATAGGATCCACATCAACAGCGAACTTCAAATAATCAGATTTTTTCCAACTGTACTTGAAAGGGGCTTGAGCACCACACTGACTTCTCAACCAGGATAGATTAGGTATGTGCCCTGGTTACAAAAGCATTTCAAGGCTCAGATGATTTTAATTTCATTTTAAATCTATGGCCGAGGATCATCTTATCTTCAAGATACCTTTGGAGCTCTGAGGCCCATCTAACTTTTTTATTTTTTTATGCCAACTCAGAAAAAAATAAAAAAAGTTTCACAGCCTGTCTGAGCGAAATCATAGAATCATCAGTTGGTTTTTTGATGTTCGGGGAGTTAACACGCCGCTATTGAGAACGCAGACAGCTGGCTAGCCGGCACACGAGGAACGCTATTGTCCACGGCGTCTGAGTGGGAGGCAAAACAGTAGGTATTGTAGGAATGTGATGCGTGGGGCATCCAGCAGCATAATGAACAATTTTCAGAAATATGCACATTCCTTTATTTAAAAGCTTGAGAGATTTAGGAGAAAGCGCGCCGCTAATCGCCAATCACTGAGCCCGAGGGCCGTCTGGATTTCCCCCCTCCTCGCTCGAATCTGCATGGGAGCTGGAGCGAGAACAACAAAAAGAAGCAGTATAGAAACACTACTGCCTAGCTGTGTGGTAGTTAACTAATCAAAGTTATTCACAATACTGTAGCTCTACTCAGAACTACATTTGTGTGTGCTCAGCTAAACCCCGCAGCTGTTCATCTGCTCTTCTGCTGGTGTCCACGAGCCTGCATGTTGGATTTTTTTTTTTGCTTTGTGGCAACATTTCCCTACCTCCCTGTCAGCAGATATTGCCCTAGTTTCTCGTAGCACCATCTCATACCTGAACTCTCAGAAAGTGTCGGCTCATGCATAGATTTCCTCGTTATACAATCACAACCTCCGCTTTTTTTTCCATCTTTGTCTTCTATCTGAAGGATATTTCGCAAAGCGTGGACGGGATGGTTTGCTTTGTTTTCACCGTGCATAAACTACAGATAATAAATGTTGGAATAATATTCATAAAAGTGAGTTAAAAGAAATTTGCAGTCAAACCTCCTTCGTTTTAGCCACATGAGAGGCCGATATAAATGCATTCATCCCTCTAAATAGCGTCATCTTTACTCCTCCTAATCTGACCCGATGGTGGGAGAAAAAATAATGAGCAAAACATGCAATTAACTCGTATCGATGGAAGTCATCTATGTGTTCATGTTGCTTGCGGGCAAGTCAAAAGAGTCTTAAGCGTGTTATCCAGAAACTGAAGGCCACTGCATAACTTCTGCTTTCTGGGGTTGTTTTAGGAGCATCTTTTTTTTTGACAGCGTCCCACACAGATGTGGTATAGGAGCGAATTCCTATCTTTCACATCGCCACACATTGACAGCACACTATAGCTGCGATGCCAGCATACCGGGCCACGCTACTGAGGTTTCTGGAGAATGGGAGTTAACCGAACTGCCCAATCGATGATCTCTTTCCTGCCCGAGAGAAGTTGTTTCAGTCCGCTGTCAGAGTTTGTGTGTCGTCACGTCTCTCACGCCATGTGAAGTCAGGAGAGACGTCCGTGCTGTGTGCTCGATGTGGAGTACACCGCCGCAATAAGACGGATAAATAAGCTCTTTCTCTTTTTACTGCTTACAACCCTCCGGATATGCCTTATCTGGATATGGCTTATAAGCACTGAATCTAATGATCTGGAATTGAAGAGCTGTGAGCTGCCGCTGCTGCTGCTTCCCTCCAAAGGGAGTCTGATTGGCTGTGAGGCTGTTTTCTCATGTCGCTCTTTCAAGCCTCAATCAAACCTGGAGTTTAAAAGAAATGGCTAATGCTTGGAAACACAAATTTATTGGATGTAAACGTCTCATATAGGAAGATAGCATTTATTTTTTTGAGCAATAAAGTAGTTGATCTATGTGTAAACACTGATAAAAATCCATCCAGCTATACACCGCTTAATCCTCACTAGGGTCGTGGGGGGCTGGAGTCTATCCCAGCTGACTCAGGGTGAAGGCAGGAGACACCCTGGACAGGTCACCAGTCTATCACAGGGCTACACTTAGAGACAGACAACCAAGCACACTCACATTCACACCTACAGACAATTTAGAATCAGCAATTAACCTCAACATGTTTGTGGGAGGAAGCTGGAGAACCCGGAGAGAACCCACGCTG